ATCGAATAAAATTACTCATTATATATAATACAATAATTCCTAGCTAGTTTCGAATAACTACGTTTACCAGTGGCCAATTCCGACAAACGAGGTAGGGCTGAAAATGACGGTTATTCGACGGGTGTACATCGTCCGTTTCGGAACCTCAATCGAATACGGACAAAAAAAATTGTTATCCCATCCAAAAACTTACGGCGTTTATGTAGATATGTGGGTCCGATGGCATTACGTAATCGCAGGATACATCGTCTGGGTAGCTTCCCTTCTACATTCCCCACCTCGTGGTTGATAAACGCCGAGCATATCGCAAATCACTTGAGAGCATCGCGCGCTCACTCCAAACTTTTGACTGCTCAACGGCGCATTGATATTAATATTGTACCCCTGAGCTTTCGAAAGTACCGCCGAAACCTGGGCACACCTGCACTCTAGCGCATGGAAGTTTTCCAAAGAAGAGTAATTAAGCTCGACTGTTTTTTTCGAAATATAAGCCAGATATCTCATCTGGTTAGATAACCTACTTTCCAAGCGCTCGAGTTTCAATTGAGATTTAGACTGCTGGATAGCCTTCTAGCCTAGTTATCTGACGTGATGCTGCTGTTGTAGAGTTTTGGAGTAAACGAGAGATGCAGCGCGGGGGTAGCTCTGCATTAAACTGGATCCACTCCTCTAATACTCAATGTGATGTTAATGGCTTGAGGCTTCGAGTTGCCGCCGCCGCCGTCGTCGTCGTCGTCGTCATCGTCGTCGTCGGCGTTGTGTGTTTATTCCCTCTAGGCTACGGAGTCTCGGTATGTGTATATCAAAGGCAGATATAATCTTCCATGCGCGATGACGCGCGCGAGAGAATTTCGTTAAATACAGCTTTTTGCGTGATGGAATTGAAGATTCGAATTCTATATAAATTTTGAATAGAATTGATTCTTTCTAAATTGTGTCTGATAAACAGTTTTTTTCGTTTAGGAAAACTTTTAGATTGCGCGCTTGTGAATTTTTTTTTATTTCGTTCTTAAAATTGGTATTTACGTCGAACGGAGAGAAAACTGGTCGGATATAGGAGCAATTCGTATACTCTCGACACGAAAGTACAGTGGCAGCCAAAGTTTGCCATCGTTTAGAGACCGGTGAGACGAGGAGGTAGTTTTCTCAAGTCTCAGCACGAATCACTCCCACCCATTGGCATAAAACGACGTGCGATCCGGTACGTTTTACGCGCTCGCTTCCGCAGTTGGCTTATTTTATGTATACGCAAGCCGATTTTCATCGTTGAAGTGCATCTCTACTTTTGCTTTTCATGTCTCGTTTCGCTGGATTTCCTTTGAAAAAAGAAAGAAAAAAAAAGGAAAAAAAAAAAAGAAAAACATTTTTTTGCCTTTCTACCTGGCAAAAGCGATGTTGCGTGCGCGGGGCCGTCTCTTCTACGCGAAAACTCTCTTGAGATAAACTCGCGGTTGACCGAAAGATAAAAGAGCGGACGGGCGGAAAACATAATAATGTTTTTATTTGACCGGATACATAGCGATGCTGCAACGGAGAATATGAAGTTTTCCTATATCAAGAGCGGTTCTTAATTGAAATTCGAGCGAACTCTTTGTTATATGTGATGAATTTTTCATAGTCGTTCAGCCTGATAGAATATTTAATAATCAAGGTACTGTATACTAGGCTATTTTTACTTTTTTGAAAATATTGTCTGGATTTTTCTGAAATAACGTTTTCTGTTTGTGATTTCCTTATCTTTAAAAAATTTTTTAATATTGAAATACAAGCGAAACTGTGCATCCTAACGAAAAATAACGAAATGGGATTGCATATTTCGCATAGCCCACCTCAGCGTCACTAATACTGGTATTAAACAAAACTTAATTGGATAAAAAACGATAAAGAACAGAAAAAAAATTGAATTACGTACCTACCTTTTTAAGGCAACATAAATCAGCATGCAAAACAGAAAATGGGATAATAGTGATGGGATAGGTAGGTCGGTATAATTAAAATAATAACAAAACGTAGTGCAAAAACAAACACAAAGTCATGTTTTTTTTTGTTGAGGTGGTGATGATGTTTTAATCATAAAGTCAATAAAATTAATCAATTAAATAAATAAATTAGAAATTTATACACATATTTATATAATATATATATATATATATATATATATATATATATATATATATATGATTTGATATAAAACATAAATAGGGTCCCGAGACTGCTGGAGTTATGTTTGATTTTTGTTGAGACAGCGTAACTCGCGAGCAAAATTAGCTTCAACGGGATTATACTTAAATACGTGAGGACTTGTTCGATCGTCGACGACAAACAGAAAAGTTACAAGGGTAATACAGAGAATATGGAGAGAAGGATGATGTACAAAAGTAAATGGTAGGAGCGCGGCTAACAAATAAAAAACAAGAGAAAAACAGGTGGAGCTCGTGATGGCCGAAAAGTCCTCTTGGGCGTGGCGTCGCGAGACGCATGTACAAAAGTATGGGCATTATTCTGTTTTATTTGTCGCTTCGGCTATATGTGCTGCGCTGCGCTGCGTGTCGCACGGGGTTAAACAGTCGGCTTTGCTAGTGAGTCCTTTTGTCTCATTGTTCTTTTTTATAAAGTTGGCGTTAATTAGCTTATCTAAGGGCGCATACGACGTCAGGCTATATACGCGCCGTACGCGCCGTACGCGCCGTACGCGCCGTACGCGCGACCTATTTCTCTCTTTCTCTCTTTGTTTTTATTTCGTCTTCTTGCTTTATGCAGCCTTTCGTATGTACACTAGCAACGCACTTCCCAACTCGCTTATTCATTATTTATATAAAACTCTTATTAATGCTTGTAATGTTTGTTTTTATCTATACCTGACCTCGTCTCCATCCCTCCATCCAGAGAGGCTGTACAATTTTACATATTCACTGTGTGTGTGGCTTCCGGTCGACGGCTCTTCTCCATTATCTCAGTTCTCCTTGTTTGCATTAGTTTTATTTGCTTCACTTTGCCTTATATATTCTAAACCAAGTTGGCAACTTTCTTCTCTTCTTACTTTTTTGCAATGAGATTCCACTCTCGAACGAGGTAAAGTCTTACTTGTGCTTATCTCCTGACATTTTTTTCGAATGAACTACAGTACGAATTTCCATTATTGTCGATATATATCTTAACAATCTCGCGCGCTTATCATCTCGCCAACAGCTAATTCGATGATTAGCTATTGCGAAATTCTGCCGAAAGAAGTAATCAAATTTTACAAATAGCATTATTACATAACTAAGATGATCACACTATAATTCAAAGTCTTACCACACTCTCTATAATACAAAATAATAATTAGCAACTCCAATACGCAATGCAAAAACGACAGCTTCGTTTTTATAATTTTCATACAAAAAGAAGAGAAGAGAACAGAAAGATAACTCAACTTAGACAACCGAGGAGACGAGCAAAGAGCCGCCGACTGCGGTCGAACGCGGTCTAGACTATTTCTCATTTCTCCGAAAGAAAATAGTAATACCACGTGAAAACGATGTGATACGAATGTAGCACGTGCGTTGTAAGTACATCTTGCCCGCTGATTATGCACGCGAGAGAATCGCAAGCCGTCGTCGTCGTTATCGCACTCGAGCAAGTTACCGTTATAATAGTAATAATAAACCTTCGCCCGGAGAGCTTTTTCGCGCGTGAATGAAAACGATAGAACGATAGAGGGAGCAAAAAATGAGAGAGGGAGAGAGAGAGAGAGAGAGAGAGAGAGAGAGAGAGAGAAGTACCCGGGACTCTTTGGTATGGTTCGCCGTAGAAACGATAAGAAAGTAAACGAGAGCTGCTGCCACGACGGAGAGACGATAGATGCAATCGGAGAGAAGAGATTCTTGGTTTACTTTTTGTTCTTTGTTTAAATGCGCGTTCGAGCTTTTCCTTGTCTGACAATGGCACACGTGCGACACGTTCTCCTCGTTTAGCGCAATTGGAATTGCGTACGTTAAGCCTCGATTATCCCCCTGTTGCGGGATTATTTTTATCTGCGCGTATATACTCGTTCCGCGTTAGCTTTCACTTAGGAAAGCGCGAGGAAGCGCTGACGAGAAACGACATTTCACCGAACCGAGGGCGCGCCCAAACTGCAGCGTTGCTTTTTTTTAATTCCTTGAGCTCTTGAGATTTCTAATTATTTGTTTGCAGGTATGGCAACTCCCAGGTGGACGATTGAACGGCTCACTCGCTACATCCGAAATGCATCGCGAAGTCTCTCTCTTTGCACTGCGTCTCTCCGTTCGTGGACTTGATTCTCGTTCGCGTTATCGAACTTAAAGAAGAGAGAAGAAAAACTCGAAAAATATTGAAAAGAGGTAATTGTTTATGTGCATACGTGTGAAAGTAGCATAATCTCGAGGGAGGTCCACACGCGACCTCTTTTATATTTCTTTTTCGTAAATTATTACAGTCTCATCTAGGTTCCTTGATTCGTCATCTATTCAACAAGAGGCGACGATATATCTGATAATATAATCGCTCGACGTTGTGTCGTTATATATGCTCAAAAATCTTCGCTAATGCCCAGAAATGCGATAGAAAGCATCGTTTTTTAGTCCGACGTTTTTCTCTTTCGCCGTGTGTACGCGCGTGATTCCTTTTCTCGTCGCGTACTTATAATTGGCGCATCGAGCTTGGACAAAAAAAATTGCTAATCGTACAATGTTGTATTTACGCGTGCTTGTGTGTGCATACACGTGGGCTCGAGATAGAGAGCGCGTGTATATACTTTCTTTTAACTAGTGTCAGTCGCGCGAGCGTTACGTTTACGTGGACTTTGAAAAAAATCATCGAAAGATGCCTCGTTAGACGCTACGCTCTGGTGCGTGTTTTTTTTTTTTAGCGGGGAAACGCCAGCAATTATGACCATTTCATGACTTATATGCGAACCCCGATCAACTATCGCTAGCAGTAGTACGAAGTTGACAGTCCGAGCTTGCAAGAAAAGGGTGCCCTATGACGGTTATACACACTTCCGGTACTGATGACGTCCTTCGTTTCACATCTCAGACCCTGGAAGCCTTCCGGACACCTGAAACAGATGAGCACATCACAGATTGAGATTTCTTGTTACTGAATGGTTGGTTTTTTTTTTTTTTTTAATTGGGATGGCACGCTAAAGGGATTAGAAATTCGCTTGAAAATTTTATTCACTGACTTTGAAAAGTGAACCATGCTTTCACAACGCTATGATAATAATGCTGCATCAAACTACAAGAGACCAATTGTCAATAAGTATCAATAAAGCTTTAATGGCTACTACGTTTCATAACTTTGTGCGGCGAATAAAATGCCCGAGTAATTTCGCTAGTTATGAAAATTGAAAACTTTTCTCAAAATATCTTGCGGTAAGTAGGCAAAGTTTGACGTGAAAGTTTCATCAAGGAAGTAATTAGGCAAGTGAAATGTACTTTTGAGTTTTCAATTGCTTACTTAAGTTATAAGTAATTGTTGAATTATCAGGCTCGTTTCGTCCCGTTAGCACGAATTCAGAAAATCAGTTAGGACCGATAGTGCATCAGTGTCATTTCGTTTTGAGACGTACCACGCCACGGAGGCAACAGCAGAAGAGAGGGAGAGAGGGAAAGAGGGAGAGAGGGAGAGAGAGAGGCATCGGGGAAATTATTCTTGAAACCGAAGACTAAACAACGTGCCAGTAGCAACGCAAATAAATAAAAGCCTTGGCGAGATTTAAAGCGTTTAAAAAATGATCAACAGACACTTCTCCCCTAGATAAACGAGCCACGTTAATAAGAAAAGTTTTCGAAGTCGCTGCTATACGTATCCGTGCGGCGAAAGAAATGCCAACGTCCAGAGTTGCGGAACGTGCCACGAACAGCAAGAAGAAACCGCCGAGATAAACGAAGAGTGAGAGAGAAAGAAAGAGAGGGGAAAAAAGAAAGAGGTCGAGACGTTTCGTCACAAACGCCGAGCGGAATTTCTTAAATATAACATCGTCTGTCCTCCTCTTCTTTTGCTCTCCATTCAAGATCGTACGCAGACGAGGAAACGCAAGAAAGACGAGCGAATTTCCTTGCGAACGGCATCGCGCCGTCGGTAAACTTAGTCACCATCGACTTTCAATTTTCAGCGACACACATTAATGCACGTCAATAAATCAAGGAAAAGCAAGTGTGTTTTCGGCAGTTTGATAGGGAAAAAACCAAGCAGCGCCATTAATTTGCGTTTTCTTCGGCAGGCGCGCGCAGAATAGAAGGTAATTCGGTGCTTGCTGCGGTTACGTTTATTTATAGCCCAGTCGGAACAGTGTAGCGCGACGCTGCCACTGGCGCTGTTGTCCGGTTAAGAAGAGAGCGCCGCGCGCCTGAAGAGAAAATCGAGTGGGAGAACGGATGCAAATGAGCGAGACCAAGAGAAACAAATAGGGTGAAAGAAGAGAAGGAGGAGGAGAAGAGAGGCGGATGCACCGACGGGGCAAAACGCAAGTGCTTGAATTATTAGAATTAGCCGAGTGGAAATGCAAACGAGATGCTCGAAGCTCGCGATGATAAAGGGTTGCTCAGCGAGTATTGATAACGAGGTGATTCAAACTAAAAGAAAAAGAATAAAAGACTACTCGAACGATCGACCTGTTATCGACATTAGGAACATATTGAATCAACTATATTTTTCTTTCCGTAGACAATATATCTACATTGTCTCGTTTTTTTTGGAGATGGAATATTTTTAGATGTTTTTTTCTATTTCGCAATGGTTGTTTTCTGAAAATGGATGGGCTGTAGTGGCTTGATTTTTTTTCTCCCTAGCACATCTAGCACATCAAAAATTAGTTTAACGACCGCAAAAATTTATATATAGCTTGTCACTTCCGTGTTTGCTTTGAGAGCGGATTTCTAAGCATAGCACTTCCTCTCCTGCAGTATTTACTTAATAATTACGTCATTGGCTACGCAGGAGCACGCCATAAGTTTTTGGGTCATCAATAATAACCCTCGCAAATTTTCCGAAAATACCATTTTCATCTGAAAGTTTACTTTTTTCAAGAGTCACGTAGTCATGTCCGACTGGCAGGCGAGCCACCTGCAATTTTTTTTGGTGATTGTGAAATGATAGGGCAGCAGAGATGGCCAAAACAATGACAGAATCAAGCAACATTGCGAGGAAAAGAAAACTAAAAAAAAAAAAAAAAAAAAAAAAAAAAATTAAAAATAAAAACGAAGAAAACAAGCGGACACGAGAGAAAAAGATATCTGCGCGGTATATAACGAATCTTATTTTTGTATCGGGTTCAGATCGTCGTCGCAACCGGCTGTCTTCTTTTCCAATTCGCGTTTTTTTCTTTTAACTCTTCTTTTCAAATCCGTTCATCCGTCGCAATTAAGCGTACAAATCTCTTTCGCTGAGCTTTCGCTTTGGACGTCTTACATAGCACCAATTAAGTTTCCTCGCGGGATGAGTTTTTTCAAAAAATATTACAGACTCGACAAAAACACAGACAAGCATTTCTCTAGGTCGTATTCAGTTTGGATTTTCTCGTGGGTCTTTCATCCGCTCGTTCGTCTCTCGCTCATGCGTTTGTATTTTTAGAGTTGGTCCCGCTGACGAGACATACACGTTCTTTTACGGGCGCAAGCCGGCAACTGACGGTAATATAAGGTCGCTTAAGGGCAGACACTGGAAAAGTCGAATGTTGGTCTGTCATGGCTAATTGCTTAAATAAATCAAATGGAAAATTTGTGTCGTGAGGTTACTTTGATTTATTAAAAATGATTGAATTTTTAATTTCTATGATTTATATTAAGATATATATATATATTAAGGTTTTGTGTATACGTATTTGTAATCAATATCTACAATTGAGTGGAAATTTCTTTTCTGTCGGCTACTGCTATATCAGCTAACCATTAGAATATTGTAAAATAAAATTGAAACAAGTAAATAAAAATTACAACGGGATTGCTTTGATAAAACAATTTTTGTTGAATGTTTGAACTCGAATCGAATTCAAAACTATTGTTATTAGCTTACAAAACATAGAAATAATATTTATTCTACTTCGTTCTATATGTCCATTAAAAAATAACTCTTGAGAAAATTTCACGCAATTCCATTGTAGTCGAAAATGCTGTTATTTAAAGAAAATTCACGATAATATCGGTTCGAGTTGTACTATATTTCGCTTTTATTGCATTGATACGATATGTATAAATGAAGCTTTTCGCATATAGGGGATGTATTATTTTCGATTGCCGAATCAATATTTAAGTTCATACAACGAAAACGTTATGTTGAGTTATTTTTAAATTACTTCTACAGAGCTAAATAGAAAACCTCATTTTATTTCAAATATATAAGCAAATCCCCAAAACTTTATAAATTTACTATTAAGAAAAAATAATATTTTTCCATGACAGCTTTGAAAACCTTTTTTCTGATATAGTTCGTCTCAAATAGCAATAAGAAATACGGGCTCATGATTTTTTCAAAACCTTTTTTTGTAAAACAGCATAATAAAACTAAACTTATAATTTTTCAAGTAAAGTCATTATCAATTGGTTAAGATTGTCAGATATTGAAATAAAAGTGTGTCAAATCATTTTTAGCAATAACTGAACTTTATTTATTTTTCAAATTTTATAAATAATAATATATCAAATTATTAGTACCATTACAATAGTTACAAAAACTAACTATAATTATAATACAAAATGTGAATATTTTCATCTTTGTTGAATATGAATGGACGTATCAATAAGTTCATGTAGACACATCATTGCTGTATATTGATATTAGATTTTTAAAGATTTTGTAATTAGCTCTAACTAGTCAATATAATGCATCTCTAACATAAGCATCATTTAAAACATTAATAAATAAAGTGTAGAGAAATAGCTTTCAAGTTACAGACCAATCAGAAAGGGATTTTAGTGTGCCAGCAAAAATGACAATTTGTAATACGAGGGACCCAGTGAAAACTCTAACATGGTAAGCTTATAGCTCAGAGTATTCATAAAGCACATTAATAGAGAAAGTTGTATTAGATTGCGATTTTTGAATAGAATATATTCTACTTATTCAAATATGATTTATAAAACTTTTTTCCGTACAAAACGGAATAGTTGGTACTTTTTGGTTTTTTAAAAACTGTGTTTCACTTCTATTTGCATGGTTTATTTTTTGCCTAAACATGCTTGAAATTTATTTTTTATATAATATGTACCAAAAGATACCTGAAAATAAATTTTGGAGTGATTTACTCAAGACTTTTTTTTAACTTTAAAACAAAATTTTTGCATCGAATTACAGTATAGATTTTTAAAATCATACCTTTTCGAAACTATAGTAGCTTCGAAACTATAGTAGATATTTAAAAATAATCTTATGGAGTATATTTTTTATCATTTTTACTACAGAAAACATTTTTCAGATTTATATTACTCCCTTTTATAGAACGATTATCACGCACTGACTAAAATTTCAAAAGTTTTGGGAATTTTTATATACTTATTCAATTTCGATGACGTTGATTCGTATCCGGAATCAGGAAGCGTTATAAAGCGTTAAAAACGGTTAAAGCCTCGAAAATGGCAATGAGCAGTACAGTTTTATTGGGAGAGCAGCGTAAAAAGAAAGCTCGGGTCGCTAGTTTGGATTACACTTTTTTATACATTTGGCAATGATATATCTGGCTTATCTATTAAGCTCTATAGAAGTGATGCCCGATTCTGTGTGTGTGTGTGTGTGTGTGTGTGTGTGTGCGCGCGCGCGCGCGCATGGAGCGAACGGACAAAAACAATCAAAAGAAAAATGGAAAAAAAGAACAAGCAGCAACAGTGCTAGTAGTAGTGGAGCTATTCTCTCGCGGTATAACGAAGCTCGGAATGATAACGCTTGCGCTGATCGTCCAGGCGTTATAGCGGCTTCACTCCTTTCAAACCACCCCTGCGGCAACGCGTATGTTTCAAAAGATGCGCACTGAAAAATATTTCATTGCGGACGTATTTTTTGCTTGGTGGAAAAGGGAAGCAAGAGGTTTGAAAAAATCCATGAAATGGTACGTGCGACGAACCG